CTACTACTACTACTACTACTACTACTACTACTACTACGACCACTACGCCTATCCTTATTCCTTATTAGAATATACTCCTACTCCCCCCCTCAGGCCGGCCATTAGGGGCCGCATCCGGGGGGTCCCATCCTAACCTGTAAAAAACAATACAAAATCAACATTTCTCTTATTTTTTCCTCTCGACATGGACGTCCTGTCGTCCACGGCGATAATCCATTGTAAAAAATACAACAAAGAGCACACGCGCGCGTTCATGTCAGAATCCTACCGAACACCGTGTGTTTGCAAGCATTTCAACATAAAAACATCAAAAACCCTATGCTTTTTCACAAAAATTGTACAAATTTCCCGCCCGGGCTCTCTGGCTGAAATCATAGGAAAACCGTAGGAATCTTAAGAATTCGGTCAAATCCAGCGATTTCACGTCATCGCGCGGTGCACTCGCGATGCTCTGTCATGCACCCAGGCCGCGAATCCTGTGCAAAAAATACCACCAAGAGCACACTCGCGCGTTCATGTCAGAATCCTACCGAACACCGTGTGTTTGCAAGCATTTCAACATAAAAACATCAAAAAACCAATGCTTTTTCACAAAAATGCTTTGAGGTGTCCTGTCAGACCGTCGGGCTTCCTCCGGCCACCTCTGGCTTCCTGCGGTGTACCGGGCCATTCTCGACTCGTCTGGCAATGCGTGCGCGGCATTCAACACGCGCTCGCAGTTCCCGTCGGCAACCGCCATCGCGGCCGCATCAGCTGTACCAAACCGGCTGGCCGGTGTGACTTCGGCCCCCAGTTGTGCCAGCTTTGCTTCTTATGTTGTGGGAGGCGGGTGGGACTGGGCATGCCATGCTTGACTCGCTCGAGCTGGCTTCAGCTTGCCTCAATTCCTTACCCTACTCCTACTACTACTCCTACTCTCTACTTCCCCCTATACGACGTCTGATACTACTACTACTACTACTACTACTACTACTACTACTACTACTACTACTACTACTACTACTACTACTACGACTACTTACCACTACTACTACGACTACTTACCACTACTACTACTACTACTACTACTACTACTACTACTACTACTACTACTACTACTACGACTACTACTACTACTACTACTACTACTACTGCTGCTACTACTACTACTACTAACTACTACCTACTACTACTACGGGACCTACAACTACGACACTCTACTACTGCGACATACTACTAATAATTAATATTACTACGATTACGGACTACGATACGACTACGACCACGACCCCGACTCGGCGGACGACTACACTACTACTACTACTACTAATACTACCACTAATAACTTTACTACTACTCCTTAATACTACTACTCTACGACATACTACTAAACTACTGACTACTACTACTACTACTACTACTACTACTACTCCTACTACTACGACGTACGACTACTACTATACTACTACTACTACCTTCTAAGGACTTGAATACTACTACTTACTTACTAACCACTACTACTTTACGACTACTACTATACTACTGCTACTACTATATTACTATTACTACTACTACCACTACTACTACTACTACTACTACTACGACTACTACTACTACTACTACTAATACTACTACTACTACTACTACTACTACTACTACTACTACTATTACATACTACTACATACTACTACATACTACCACATACTACTACATACTACTACTACTACTACTACTACTACTACTACTACTACCACTACCACTACTACTACTACTACTACTACTACTACTACTACTACTACTACTACTACTACTATTACTACTACTACTAATACTACTACTACTACTACTACTACTACTACTACTACTACTACTACTACTACTACTACTACTACTACTACTACTACTACTACTACTACTACTACTAGTTCTATTACTGATACTCAAAAGGTAATCATAATCATACAGAACACCCTCCTCTTCGTCGTCCTACTCTGTTTCCCTCCTCTGCTACAGCGACTCTCCAACATTATCCAGATTGCCAGAATCCTGCTAAACGTCCGCCCGCTCCTCCCCTCGTCTCCTTTTGTGCGTAGGCTCACGTCTCTGGCTCCACCATGAAACCCCCCTGCCCACCCTGGGGATCATAAAGCTCAGGCCAGGCAGAAACAGCATCAGCCCGTCGAAGTAGCCCCTATGGAAGTTCCAGCCGACCTGGAAGCGCCAGCAAGATCATTCAAACAGCTGATCACTCGCACGCGCAATCACTCGCAAACGCTCCTCATCCCCCTCCTCCAGCGGAGACGCTGTCAGCCGGCACGCTGGCCCACTTCAAGGCGGGCCCAGAAGATAGCAGGCAAGGACCCGACGCGACGGCCCGCGAGACCCTTCTATTCGTGCTGTGCTCCTCTCAGTTCCCCTCATCGCGTCGCCCGTGCACATGTCAGCTCGCACTAAGCTGGAGTTTGCCGCACAGGCCGCTCGTAAACTCGACTGCAGTATTGGAAGCCGTTTGCTGGGCATGGAATGCGGACCTCGCCGCGGATCGTCATGAAGAGCGGCCGCTCTTCTCATCTTCGTCCTCTTCCTCCACCTCATCTTTCTCGTCCTGCTCCTCGTCAACATCATCATCATCATCATCATCATCATCATCATCATCATCATCATCATCATCATCATCAGCAGCATCACCATCACAACCACCACCACCAAAACCATCAACATCAGCATCACCATCATAATCATCATCATCATCATCAGCAGCATCATCATCATCAGCAGCATCATCAACATCAGCCTCCTCCTCATCCTCCCCCTCATCCTCATCATCATCAGCCCCTCTTCGTTATAAATAGCTCCACCCTGTCGCACCCCGAGGCCAGTCGAAAGGGCGGCCATGCGTTTCGCCTGAGACTTCCTCACCATTTTTGATCCTGGAGCATGAAAGGCGCGAAGGATTCACGGATGGAGGGCGGGTGGTTTTCAAAATGTGGTTCTCGCCTCAGCGCCGCGCACATTCGTCTTAATTTTTTCAAGAGCTTCACGAATGGAGGGCGAGGGCGGTCCGTGTTCACAATGCGGATCTCGACACAGTGCAGCACACATTAGCTTGGAAAATTCGCAACAGTTTCACAGATAGAGGGCGGTTCCGTATCAAAATGTGGCTCTCGCCGTAGCGCCGCACACACTCGTATTATCAAGTGTTTGCAACCGTTTCAAGGGTTCTCATGGTTAAAGTCCCTGAGATGGTCATTTGGCACGCTGCCGGAATGCCAGGGCGCAACAGTCACGTTGACTCGCGGTGTTGGAGTCCCAGGATCGGCTTTCTGGCACGATTCAGGCTCGTCAAGACGCAACAGCTACAGTGATTCGCGGCGTTGAAGTCCCAGGAGTGGTGTTCTGGCACAGTTCCGGATTTTCAAACGATTATCTTCCAACGGGGCGCTTCCCTCAGTGAGAATGATACCTTTGCATGGGGCCTCCGAAGAGGAGAACTGGAGGGAGGGACTATTGCAATCATCGTTGTTGAGTCTTGGATGTATACTGGCCCTCCTCCTTCTCCTCCTCCTCCTCCTCCCCCTTCTCATCCTCTTCCTCCCCCTCCTCATCCCTCTTCTCATCCACCTCCTCCTTCCTCCTCCTCCTTGTCCTCGTCCTCCTCCTCCTCCTCCTCCTCCTCCTCCTCCTCCTCCTCTTCCTCCTCCTCCCCCTCCTCCTCGGCGCGCGAGGCCCTGCATGGGTCCACCATGTGCTGGACTCTGTTCCCGAGCACCGCCGGGTGCGGGTCGTAGCTGTAGGCCTCCAGGTTCTGCCTGGGGCGGGCCTGTTTGGCAGGCTCCTCTTCCTGCTCTGTGTGCTTATATTTCTCTGCTGCTGCTTCTCCTTCTCCTTCTCCTCCTCCTCCTCCTCCTCCTCCTCCTTCTCGTCCTCGTCCTCCT